GCAGGCATTGTGTCTGCAGGCAGTTTCAGCAGCAGTACGGGTGGCAGATCTGAAACAATCTCTCGGACCGTTCTGATGTGTATGTCCTGCTCTGGTGTGGTTACTCGAGGGAGACCGGATCTTGGATGGTCATCTGTCCTGCTGGTCTGCTGAAACCTCTGCAGTTGCGACACAGTGGAACAACTTACTCTATAGTGTCTGGCAATGCTGAAACATGACATGTCTGCCTACAGCATGCCAATGCCCTCTCCTTTGCTTCTGGTGACATTCTCAGCATTAAAGAATGCACAGAAAACTAAGTGTGGCATTTTTCTTACAGTGACCTAAGCTTTGAATTAAGGCCTTTTTAAAGGTGACCTGATCTGTCACCTGGACCTTGATCGGTAAAAGTGCACCTAACAAACTTTTGTGTTATTGGCAAGTTGCAATGCCTCACTGCACAAGCTGTAAAGCTGTTCAGAGCGCTTTAAACTGACAACTTTTTGTGAAAGTACATAGGCTATAACTATAGTATTCTCATTCCAAAAAATGTTTGTGTCTCTTTTTTCCCATCAGTGTATATTGTTAGGAAAAAAAAGTTATGTTAAAACAAATGATGCCCCAGTTTGTGGTAAGTATTCTGGCACTGTGATAAAAGGAATGTTTGTGCAAAAAAAAACAAAAATTATTTTCTGTAACCGCACTTTTATTACCCAATTTATGTGTTAGTCATTGGTATGCACTTTTAATTGTCATTGAATAGGAGTAGCAGAATTCCAATAGTTCTCATCGTCAAGATAGAGTTACTGCCGTGTAAACAAAACACCTGAATTTTGACAAGGTAGGCAAGCATCTTTAACAGCATTCCTAAAGTGAAATCAAGTGCTTATCATATTGTAGATTATGCTACAAGTTTCAAAGGCCTGGAAGCAATGATCCACATGACATAAGCATTTAAGCAAATAGTTGGTTTAATGAAGAAATCAATAAATGTTGGTTTTGTTTGAATGGAAACATTTGACTCTGCTGCCCACCACAGACGTACAGGAAGGTGAGTGAGCCAAGTAATTCTGACTGCCATGCACTCAAATGTCACGGTCTTGCTAAGTGATTGTAAAAATGTGACAGGCATCTTGTTGCCATTTTCTTTACTGAATGTCAAACATCATCACTTTCCATAACCACTTAACTGGGTCACGGTGGCCTGGAGGCTATCCCAGGATGAACTGGGCACAGTGGATAGGCTCTGGATGGGATGCCAGTCCATCACACAACAGACACAAACACACACACTCATATTAGGGCTGATTTTCCCAGTAGGCAATATACCTATCAGCATGTCTTAGGATGGAGGGAGGAAACTGGAGCACCTGGAGGAAACCCATGCAATTGTAGGGAGACCATACAAACTCCACCCAGATTGCACCTCAGGGAGTTGAACCCAGCGCCTCAGCACAATGCTGTGAGTGTCTTCCCTGAACCCAAAACGTATCAGGTTGATATCAAATATCGGACTGTGGACTGTGTATTCTGGACACTGGGAGCTCTCGTCAACCTTCTTTACTTCTTTGTTCCAAAATATTCTTACTCCAGCTGGTTCTTCAACTCCCAGGAGTTTAAGTCGATGTTGCTGTATCTTTGAAACTCTTTTTTTGGCCTCCATCCTCGAGTGACTGCCTGGTTTGGAAGATTAAAGAGGCAGTAAGATGGCTTTTTTAACCCTATCCGGTCCCTGCAGCACAGAACAGTGTCAACCACTGTGTTACATATAAAGCTGATTAGCAACTACACAATACCCTAGACATGGAATGAAACACAGGCGCTGGAAAAACACTTTTATTTTTATTTTTTTAGGTAAAGTATTACAATATTAAGACAAGTTGTATAAAAACTGTTGTACAGATGAGAACGCCCATTTACGTTTGGTCCCTAGATGCACACATATGCGCGCAAACACACAGGCAGGTCTCTTCAAAACCCTATTGTCTTGCTATGTACAAAAAAAGCCATTACTACAAGCAGCCGGCAGAAATTACCAGAGGACATTTCAGTAAGCACTGCTTTCTTCATTGGTAGAACACCGTAACAGGTAAGAATTGGGCTTAATTCATCTAGGGAAAAATTAAAAGGAGAAGAATAAAAAAAATTACAGGGCACAAACAGCCGCCTTGATTCTAAAATAACCTTCCTATTACATTATGACATTGCAAGAAAACTGTCAACAGAATGTAGTATTCCCTTCTGTAAGAAAATGGCCACACAAGTTCCGTTAATCATTTACCAGAGTCTTCACTTGTTTCATTTGCCAATAATTACAGTTCAAAATATTTATACAAAAAAGAAAAAGCACTGGTACATGTTTAACATGAATTATTTATACCCTGTAATCTCAAAAGCAACTAATCCCCAAATAAAAAAAATGCAAGTAAAATCTTTAGGCCCCCATATGTATGGTTCTGTTGGTGATTTCATTATTACCAACTGGAGTCAAATTGAAAACCAGACTACATACATTTTGCAAGGAGATTTATGTAGAATGGCAAAGAAACGATCACTTGATATTCCAAAAATATACTTCACCTACTCTCTTCCGTTATTAGAAAGAAATTTCTGCACTGAAGATATGGTCTATAACTGCTGATCTCACAAACACAGTGTGTAGGCTTGTTGCTGCCTTCTGTCTATGCTAAGAACCACATGCTTATTTCACCAGTGCTATTCACTGTTCAAGGATCCACTACTGCTTTTTCGGTCCTGGGTGTCACGTTGCTTGTCTCTAGTCTCTGCACTCACTCACACAAAGAATAGTGCATTTCAGTGTATGTGTTTTACGCCTATATACACATACACAAGAGAGCTCATATTATTACAAATAATATAAAGAATATAGTTATATTTGTTCTTACATCCTTGCCCTTACTGGTGTCATGATCTCATGAACATCATGCTGAAGGCTGAAGGAGCCTTATTGGAAACTTAAAACATCAACGTTTTTTGTTAACCTCTGCATCCCAGCCCTCAAGTAACAGACCACACAGCAATTCGCCACGGGACTACGGAGTCGTCAGGTGTGGACACAGTGATGTGCAGTGGGAGTTTTCCATTACATAAGTGCAAACTGGCTCGATATGAAAAAAAGGTACTTCCATTTTATATTGTGCGGCAGCTCAGGTATACCTCGTGGGCATTCATACAGGTGAGCACCCCAACAGGACACAGAACATGTCATTGGCTTTGGAGGCACGGAGCAGATAAATCCAAAGTCAAATGTGCAGGCACCGTGCTATGCCTGTCATAAAAGGCTTTTAAGTGCCGTTGCTGGTTTGGTATACAGTTCATGCAGTGCTATAGCAGTAAAATATGCCCTTATTGCTATACTTGGTCTCACTGTACCAGTCTGTGTGATACAGAGCTAAGTGTAGAGTACCAGGAGCTGTGGCTGGTGCAGGCTGGTAATGTGGCACTTCAGCCTCAAAAGTATTTGCAGCATTGTATTCACTAATTAGCACCTTGAGGAAAGACAGAACACAGAAAAGGGTTAACTTGTCAACAAAGCAGTAAACTGTCTCAGTCACAACCAGGACTTGTGCTACATGCAACAAAAATGACTTATTAGCCTACTGTACAATCCTAACGCCCCTTTTTTTAGACCTCTCAAAAATCCTAAACTTCAAATCTGATGAAGTGCCGATTACGGTTCTGCTCAAGAGAGGGAAAAGGATGCTACAGCTCGCTAGGGCCTCCTCACTGGTATGGAAAATGACGAGGTGTTCGCATTTTACCAAGCACACCCAGGACTGGAAATGGAGGAGTTTGAGGTGGAGAGTGTGGCAAGTGAGCGAACTGTTGCACTGACTCAACTGTGACTGACAGGAACAGGGTGGCTGGACTCCAAGGCTGACCTTATAAGGAATCATTCTTCCTGTCCAACACTGAAGGGGAAGTGGGAAAGATCTGGTGATCAAGAGTGTGTTATACACAGGAGCTCATACCTCATCCCCAGCAGCAAACTTAAAGATTGGTGAACTACAAAGCTTTACCACTGACACCAGAGTTTGTATATGGAGCTTAGGGTCTCTGGCAAAACATTACAAGTGAAGTGTGTATTTTAGATAGACTGCAGCTGTCCTTGTTCATCTCAAACATCCGATATTACAACTAAAAAAAAAAAAAAAAAAAAGAGACATTTCTTTCATTTAGAAGTAATGTCAAGAAAGAACATGTTTTTATTAAAAAAGGCTTGTAACAGTGACAGTTCGGGGTTATTTAGTCCTAGACAAGGTTGTATAGGACTCGGAAAATCAATTAATTCCAATTTTTAATGCACTGTTTTTATTATTTTGAAATCATGAGCTGTGCTGTATTACAGATTTCCAAGACATTTCCATGAACCACCCTCTATTAAAAGGCTGTGTCAATCCAAGCTCTTAAAAAGTGCTTGAAAAGACCAGGACTGTGAGTTTATTTAAACTCCTTGATGTTGGTAGACAGCAGACCATTTCATTTAAATGTGTCTGTATTGTATCATGGCAGTACTTACTGTAAGAAACTGGAAGGGAGTGTGTTGTGTATCTTTGCAGAATCTAGTGCTAGAGTTATAATCCTTGGGTAGAGTACCAAAAAATAACCAAATTGAAAAAATCTTTCCTCAACAAGCAAACATAATCGCAGCTCATTCAGGCAACACAATTGTTCATGTTATCACTTCCTTTTGCTCTCTTGACTCATTTAAAAAGTACTCTGAGGTTGAGATATAAACAAATGCCACAAATGTTCCAGAAAACAAATTATTCTAGGACAACACAGACTGACTTAGGGAACTGGACATTGAGGACCAGCAGATAGGCTGCCACAGATGTTATCAGCAGGGTTATGCGTGATTTTGGTCTGAACAATTTTTTTTTCAGTCATATTTCAACAGTTTCTGTGTCAAATTCAAGCTGATGTTTCTGCTTGATAGCAATAAGCTATGGTATTATCATAAAGTCGAAGTTGATTAATTCCAATGCAATCAAAACAAGTGACTGTTGCAGGCACCAACCTTTTACTTGATTCTCCTATTCATCAGATCGCTTTGACACTTTAAATATAATAGGACTACCATGATTTCCAATGGGACAAGTTACAAGTAAATGGTTCTGTATGCAAAGTAATACTGCACAGTATACAATACAACCAAGATAAACGACAGTTCATTCTACAGATTTCCGATAGGTAGTTAATACAGTAATAAAAATTCCCTTTGATTTGACATTTCTACTTGCCAGGCTTATTTTTGTAAACACGGGTTCAAAAAGAACAAAATGCTTACCCCCAACCTTCCTCTAAGCAGCCTATTCAAAATTTGCACTGTGCACATTTCTGTTGCGCAGAACAACACATTTAGCCGGTCAATCTCGGAAATTCAAAGCACTGTGAGGAGGGGACAAATATTGGGGGAAAGAAAACAGAAAACGTATGCTTGCACACTGATAAGAATGCAAGTTAGCAACAGGGCTGCAAACCTTGGGCTCTCTTTATTGTTCTTCCAGAACGACAAAGCTGCGTGTGGAAGGAGGAGAATGTTGGGCTGCTGTGGGCAGTGGAACGTCTTCCTGCACACGAGTGCTTCCTCCATGCTCCCCCTGGATCCTGTGGCCTTTCAGAACGTTTGGGCAGAAGAGTCGGGCAGGGAGGGCAGTTGCACTGGTTCAAACAGGTCCATTGTTAATTCCTTTCCTGCACAAACACAGTTTCTTGGGGGCAAAGGCCTGCGTCCTGCAGAGTGATGTCATAGTCCAAGTGAGAGAGTTTCCGTCTGGGAAAATTGGTTACAAGCTCAAAGCGTTCGTTTGGATACCCCTTGGACTGTACGTGCCTCACGAGCGCCTGCGAAGACAGATGTTAAACAGAGTCAACAGACGGAAAAAAAACGAGTCACCAGGAGAAGGAAACATTCTTTGGCAATCATCAACGAGCACCGAGAACTTGTAAAAAGTCATTTTTGCTCACACAGGTAAATAAAGTGACTTTGTGAAATTTCCACCATCCCTGTTACACGACCTCAACTGCATATTCTGTCACTACTTCAAGGAAACGGAAACTGCAATGTCTTTGAGTCATTCTGGCACCGTAGTTTGACCTCAGAGGAGAGCATTCTCTTACAGCGACTCTGCAACACTGCGGAATGACATCAGGGGGCGGTGCCCCAGCACGTTCTGTGGCACTGCTGACTTCAGTTTGATTTTTCACTTTCAGTATCAATGTCTGCACTGAAGTGGGCAACACGATCGCCGTTCTTGAAGTAGTTGTCTAAATGACATTCCAGAACAATGCAAAATTAGTTCACAAAAATGGAACAAGCCATTTTTATGTTTTTTTACATAAATCCTTCACGCTGATCTGTTTTCTGCAGTATTTTTGTTATTTATTTTATTGGGGGTACACAGTATTTACCTTCTCTTACTGCTGCAATGAAAACTTAAAGATACTAAATTATGTTTATGTTGTAGCTGTTAATGAAAAATGTAAAAGATGAATAATCTCATATATCACAGGTATATATAATATTAACTATTAATTAGACTTTGTTTTATTTCTGTTGTTTCAGTCATTTTAATCTGCATTTGTAATACAGCTACATAAAACCAAGTGAAAAGACTTTCCACAGGACTCAGAGGCAGACAAATACCAGCCCTCACAAAGCACTTAACTATATCTAAAATTCTTTCCTAAAACCATTTTCTTTAACCGAATCAAGGATCAAATAATCAAGTGTCAAAACTTAGCTGCAGCAGAATTGCTATGTTGAAACTGTTCGGTATTCCTAGACTTAACTACCTTTTCTCAAGCTTATGTGAACTAATGTCTGTAACCCAGGGCAGGTATCTTGACTAGATCTTCTACTATATCGACAAGAATAAGTAGAATTCTGCTTCTTCTACATGGGCATTTACCATAAGTGTGGCTTGAGTAGGCAGTGATATCTGTTCTCTCTGTCCATCTGGATAACGCAGCATCAACCTTGCCTTTGGCCCTGGAAAAGACAAAAAGTGATTTTCATTCAAATGGAATATTTTTATTTACATTAAAATAAAAAAGCTTGGATAAGGATATAACTGTTTTGTGGGCAAACCTTTAACCTTTAGATGGGTATTAACACTGATAAGTTAAATGATGCAGATGACACAGTAGAGTAAGACTAATCTGGAAAAATAATGTATTTCCTTTTCCCTCAGAGGTGTATCATCTTTCAACAGCAAGACATGGAAGGACTTCTGCCAAAATGACCAGAGGGGGCAAAGACAGCAGTCACCATCACTATTTACGTTTTTCTCAACCTTCTTATCAATTTTAAAATGTTACCAAGAGTGAAGCACCTTTGCTGTATTCAAATACTTTGTACAATTTGAGCTTTAGAACAGAAAGCCATGGTATAGCTGTTCATTTATTTTTGCCAGTTATTGCACATGATATCCCGACAATCTTTCTTTCAATGGAAGATATTTATGTAGTGCACAATAATCACAATTAAGAGTTTTACTAATTACAGTTAATCATGCTAAAAAACACCCCATACTCAGAGGTTAATGAGGAGGTAGTGAAGACACAATGACTGCTAATGGCCTTTAAAATAAAATAAAAATAAAAGGAAGGACTTTTGTTGACACCAAATCACCAAACACTACAAATAAATAACACTATGTAGTGGTTGTGCCCAGCTGCCAATTTCAGGTATGCAAGGCCAGCTTGAAGTACATGTAAGTCAAAATCTGTCTGGGTATAGCAAATATGTTTGACACACCTGTCTCTGATGCTCAGGATTTCTCTTGACCCGTTTGTCACTTTTTGTAGGGCGCTGTAAAACCCCTTTGAGCTGAATTTTAGAAAAAGTGCAGCTACATCCCCATGCTGTCCCTGCTGTCAATATGGAGAGAAAGACTCAATTGCCTTACCGTTATCATTCAGCACCTCTGGGCAGCTTGTCTCCCCCGTGTGCATTTCCACTCCTCTCGAACCCGAGCTCTGCGGTGACTCGGTCCGGTGGTTCGTCCCTATGTCGGGTTCTCCTGCAGCTGGTTCTGACTTGGCCGGGGGCTCCAGGTGGTTCTTTTTGCTCTCCTCCTTTCGGTGGCTGGACTCCTTGTGGGGGGACTTCCTGACCCTGGGGGGACTGGGACAAGGCTGCTGGGACTGGGCAGGGGAGCGGGGGTGGCTCTGGGGCACGGGTTGGTCCGCGGTTCCCCCTGTCCCGCCGTCCTCTTCGTCAGAGCCGTCCACAGAGATGAGCCCCTCGCTGTCGGAGAAGGGCTCGGCCTCCGACTCGTCCTCGGAGCGCGAGTCGGCCCGGGGCTGGCAGGACTCGTAGTGAGTCTCTCGAAGGGAAGCCCGAATGGCCGCTTCCAGCTGGCTGTCCTCGCTGGCGTCGATCAGGCTTTCCTGGGCAAGAGACAGAGAGAGAATCACACATAAGAGACATACAGCTCGACAAATACTATACCACTCCGAACCTGCGCTTGCCTTGACTTAAGGACACTCTTACATAAACTCAGCATCCAAAAGGTTTCCCATTGCAAATGTAAAAAAGTGACTTGCAGAACCATTCCTACCTTTACAGTCCAGCCTTTCCCAGAGCAGCAACAACACAAAGCCCAAGTATTTATACAACAAAGCACGGGATTAAAATCAGCATGAGGCTGGAATTGATGCGTGGCCTGTTGATCTCCAAGAAGGCTGTTACAAAAATTTCCCAAACCAACATTCTAGCTGGTAGTTTCAAATTAAAGTTAAACAACTTTTTTACGTAAAAACGGCTCAAGCTCAAACTCTTAACATGAGATGTACAGCTCTAGTTTGGCTTTGTGGAATAATTATCATTATTCAGTTTTTTAAGTACAGAAGTCCACATTAAAAGGCAAATTTCTTAATCACAGCAGCAAACTTAATTTCTAGGATGCGGTTCAGACTGAACGAACAGCTGATTGATATTGCCAACGTAAAGTGAAACTGAAAGCATGTTTTTTGCACTGTCAAAACTTTGACTGGGATTGTAAAAAAAGATAACTAGACAAAAGAGATCCAGACAGCTAACAACAAATGTGCAATTGTGCACTGGTGTCACCACAATCTTGGGCACAGTCAGTTTTTCGAGACAAGCAGTCTAAGAGACATAGAGATTTAGAGTAGAGTCAATGTTCAACCCCAAGTGTCTAGGGGTAAAGGGGTGTAACCTTTAGGATAGTTTTTGGATGCAGGTGGGTTCTGGTGAGGGACTTAGGAAGCATGATAACAAGTGTTGGTGCAAAAGTGATTATTTTAAGGTGAATAAGTGATTGGCATGTAACAGGACACAATAACACACAGGGAAAGGGAACTAGAGTGGTGACAAAGAAAAGAAAATAACAAACAAAATGGAGCTGGTTAAGAAAGTGAGGGAAACCTAATCTGTCTACAAAAAGAAAACCCAAAACACATGGTCTTCGGTGTCTTCAAACACCCTAGCTAACCTCCCCTGACTACCCAAAACCATACAAGACAAACGGCACTCACCTGTACTAACTAGTGTTACTAATACAGAGATCAACTATGTCTGAAAAACGTACCCGACAACTTAAACTAACCCTATACACAAAAGTTCACACAAATACACAAGTGAACTAGGAATACAAATAAGGGGTAACGAGAGTAGACAACAAGAACCGGGTACAAAAGAACACAAAGGTCGATATAATACATTAGGGCAACGTAATGGCTAAATAAGGATAAACACTCGAACAAAAGTACGAGGCAAACACAAACCAACAAAAACTAAAGCTATACGAAAACACACATGAACGAAGCGAAGCCGAAGCAAAAACCAAAAGCGAAGTGAAACCGTAGCTGAGCCGAGCGGGACCGAAGTCAAACGAAAGGCCCCTTCATTCAGAAAACCTCCAACTAATATACTAAATAAGCTGCACTCTGATTGACTAAGAAGCTGATTGATGATGACGTCACACAGAAACAATGATGTAATGATGGACCAATGGGGGAGGGAGAACAATCAAGGTCAGGAAGTGTGGAACATAGTAACAAAACACACATGCACCACACACTGGGGCGTACATGTAGCATTCAACAAGACGAAGAGCCAGAGAGCTGCAAGGGGTAAAAACACTTACAGAGCGCACACGTTTCTTGGGCGGCTGGCTGGAAAGGCCATCAAGCTGGCCATGCTCTGACAGGAAGCTGGTCACTTGCTCCAGGAAGGAGGTCACATCCAGCTGGTGCCATTCCACCAGCTTCTGACCTGAGGAGTTGTAAGGGATCAAGGTCAGGAAGATCACACACAGACTGGAAGGTTTCTGCACAAGCAAGTTTATGAGTCTCTCTCTTGACTGGAGAGCTGATAAAACAGTCTAGAAGACTTTAAACTCACGGGACAGGATACATACCTAGAGCACAGTATTACAAAATGTAATAATTCATGGGTGAGAATATAAGAGTTGCAAAGTTGCACCTGTTCTGGGGTCCAAAATAGAGATGTATGGGAAATCATTTAGCTTGTAGAACTGAATATATCTCTGTCCCTCCTCACTGTCATGATATACCTGCAAGAATACAAAGAAACAGTTAATCAGAGTTGGACAGGTACACCACTGCCATGCTCACATCTGCTGAGACAGACACCAGACAGACACATGAGTGTTTGTCAATGACAGCATATACATGAGCACCCAGGGTAATCCACAGTGCCTTCCACCTCAGCATCACTGACCACACTACCAGACCCACCAGATTAAGCTTTATCTTTTAGTTCAGCACGTTAGCACCTACAATCTATAAAGCACACAACCTGCTAGATGCAACACGCAGATTGTCAAATGTTCCAGTATAGCCCTAGTGAGTGCCGAAAACGAGTTGTTAAGCGTACAACACAGGAAATAAAATATTCTGATGCGTGAGAACACATGCATGTGTGTGAAGGTGCTCTTGTGCGAACACTGTTCTGTGTGTTCTACGTGCTATACCTGCCAGAAGATGAAGTGCTCACGGATGATGGTTTTGACAGCTTCATTGCTCCATACATCCCTGTTTAGACACTGGCATGCGAAGTCCTGCACGTTCTGGATGTTTATCATAAGCCACTTGTTTTCCAGCTGTCCACATTCTTTTGCCTTGCTCAAAATAAAAGACGTAGAAGTGATGAAAAAAGCCACAAAACTGTTAAACTAGATACAGTAGCACTGTTAAAAAGGCTCATGTCCCGAATGTTTCAACTGGAAATGGAGCACATCCCACATATATTATCCAGACATTGTCGGTTTGAGCCTGGAAAATGTCGCTAACTGACTGAGACTAGGATTCCCTGTATAGCATAATGCACATGCACAGATTTCTTGACCAACAGAAAACTAAGACTGTACACAAACTGATTGCAAAGCAATGCCTATGTTGAGGAACTTTTCGAGAGACCACGGCATTTGTAGTCTTAACAACAGAAAGGGGAACAGGTGGAGCAGAAAATGGTGAAATGTGCTACAGGAACGTGAGGAAGAGTATGCAGAGAGAGTGAGCTGAAACAGCTGGAACATGAGGAAGAGTGTGCAGAGTGAATTGAAATAGCAAGTTGTGTAAAAGACTAAAGAAAATAACCAGTGATACCTAAAAGAAAATATAACATTCTCCTAAAATATGTGTTTTGCATTCAATTAGACCCATGTTCTTCATTTTTAAAAGGAATGTTTGACATCTTAACTTTCATTTTGTAAAATCTGCATATTCTGGTAAGGTTGAAATATATTCATACCAAGCATGTCAGTTTCCTGATTCAGATTGCACAGGAGGCAGTTTATCGCCATGTCTAAGGTTTGGCCTCGTGCTGTTGCTAACCTTTCTTTCTTATAGGAAACTTTAGAACTGCAAGAATGTAGGTGTCTTTCTGCTCGATTCTCCAGAAGCCATTTTGCAATAAAATTATTCCAAACTACGCTGCACTGCAATCTGAATTATTGCATCCCTAAACGTGCTGGTACCAAATGGTTTGCTTATAGTCGGAACATTTAGAGTATAAATCCTGACAGTAGGGAAAAAAAGAAATTTCAACTACAAAAGTAAAATAGCTTCTTTTTGGAACTCCTGTGTAAAAATTCAGAAAAAAGGTGCATGCCCAAAGGTGAGGCCCAATAAGTTTGAATGCATCATCCCCATTCAGTCCGGTTTACCGTTTCAAAACTGCCTTTGTGCATGAGGTCTATTGGAGGTCTGAAGAGGTCTGCCAACGTGCTCAGCTTCTTGTCAACAGCACTGCCATTCCGTAGCTCCTGCTCCTGCCGGACTAGAAAAAAAAGAGTTGAATGAACCACACCGTGCCACAGCTGAAGTGAAATCTGCAGAGCCCTTTCCGTACACACGCAACCTAAGACACTGGTCGTCAGCAGCAGAATAAACTTGCAAAGTGCACACTAAGACAAGGAATCAATCACGTATTTATTATATTTTAAAATCACGATGGGCAGTATGTATATACAAAGTGCATCAGGTTTTCTGTACCGCATGTTCTAGGGGCTCTGTGGTGCTATACAATGGCACTCCATTTCTCCACTCAGAATATAAAAAAAACATGGGTTGTTTTTTTCTTTTTTCTTTCTTTGAGCACTTGTGCAGGACAGATGGACACTAAGCCAAACAGGCCCTTAGGAGCAACTCATTTTATTTTCACATTGCAGAGGGGCCACAGAACAAGGGTCGTGCCATCTAAAAGTTTTGTGCTTATTCTCACACATTTGGCAGAACAAGGATTTATATCGCCGTTTTCAGATTGTGTGTCGTGGTTTATCCCTTTTCTTCTCCCAAATTATAAGTTAGCTGCTACATTTTTTCCATCATTTACAATGGTGTTTGCCCAGCATCGTTCCTGAGCTCACCTTTAAGGAAATTAAAGTTAATGAAATACATGAAAGTAAGCAAAAAACCTGCTTAGCTTCCAAGAACTTAAGAAATCAGGCTACAAGGTGGCAAATGCTTCTGGATTATGGATAACACAATTCACATCACCAATAATCCATTTCCTATCAACGTCTTCCTGCAGTCTGGGACAACAGTTTCTCTTTTTCCAAAAATTCTGGATATCCATTTCAGTCTTGCAGAAGGAACTGCCAAGGGATCTGATCCCCTCTGTTACAGCCACACTCAGGGTGTACCTGGTACCTAACCACACATGCCACAGGGATGCCCTGCAATTAGGTGCTTCTGGGTCACTAATCTGCTTCCTGATTGGAAGTGACTGTGCTAGGAGCCCTCAACTGCTCCTGCTCAGTGATGATGTTTTTCAACTTTTTCAGAAGAAAACGAACCCCTTACTTGTTTCCGTCTGAAAATCCCGAAAGCCATCAAATATGGATCTTGTAGGTCTTCGTCTTTTAGGAACTAAAAATCAATAATAATCAATAATCAATGAATCATTGAATAATCCAATCAGATCCCATCCTGTCAATGAAGAAAGGAAGAGTCCTAACTCTGCAATGTTTTTTAAAATAATAAAAATATTATATTTAATTAAATAAAATAGAAAAAGAGAACTAAAGCCTGTTATTTTAAAATGTTAATACTAAACGCCTAACACTACATCACAAGTCTCCTGCCACGGAGCCTTGCAATACGAATTAACTGATATGATCCACATTGTGAACACCACCTTGGTATTACCACCATACTTAAAACACTAGTTTTGTGTTACAGTGATAACATCACGTTGGTGTTCTCCTACACAGAATGAATAAAATATTTCCTAGTGATTCTAGACATGTCAGTATCTATTTGTCCTGAATATGAAACTGGCAGCTCCTTCACAGCAAATTTCCTTCAGAAAATTAGATTAGTTATATTTTTTCTGCAGACAGAGCAATAGGAAAATGCTATTGCCCATCCCTCTGAAGGAAGAAAGCCCACTGTCTGCAAAGAAGGTATGATATTAGAATACAACTATGCATAATACTCAAATACTAATCTGCTCACACCTGAAGAAGGCTCCATGGCCGAAACGTTGCGTTTTCTTTCTTCTCTTTTCGGCATGGAATAAACCTATTACATGTTTCAAATACTCAAATTGTTACCTACCTCCAAACAGTGGCTCAGGTTCCACCAAAATTTCCTGCTTCTGAGGAATTGGTGCCCGCACTTCATCCCTACAAAGATGACCAAATGACCTCAGTTTATCTCCAGTTTACACTGCTGTTAATTTTGACATTTTGTTGCTGCTGTCCGAAGGAACTACATATCACATCCACAACCTACTTGATCACACAGAATCTGCCAAATTAATCATTTTTTTTCCCCCCACAAGGCACTTCATACACGGCACACTGTTGAAACTGACATTATTTTCACATTGCTGTGTGTTTTGCAGGGTGACACGTATGGGTTTGGTGTGGAGACAGTACTGAGGTAGAAGATGTCAGCATTCCTTATAAGGGTGTGTACCCTCATCTTGTATAAAAGCACTTTGTAATCTCCTCTCTGGCATGCGCTTACAAACAAAGCTCAAACCACAGTATCCTGTACAGACATTAATTCCATAATTTAAGAGTTACCATACAATACCTGTAAAATCACATGTACAAGTACTGTATAGGACAAAAGCAAGTGATTTCATTTGGTCCAGAGCTGCAAAAGTCACCGGCATTTGCCTACCAGCAGCTTGGTAGGTTGTGATGGATGCACTGCATTAACATGCACAATCTGTCAGCAAAAAACAGAAGTACAGTAGACGCAACAGGATAATTATGTTTGCCTAATCTATTCCCTGTCTTCAGCTGCCAGCTGAACCTTTGGACCAGTGTTTTTTTTCCATTTCTGTCATGTGAATCATCTCCTCGGCGTCTTTAGCACTGTGAATTACTGCACCACTAATTCCAGTGCTCAGTGATTTAACCCGGGGATGCAGTGGTGGCTGTGCTGCATAGTCTTTTCAGCAAGCTTTGCAGAAATGGGACTCTCAGGACCCACGTGTTTCATCAGTCAATTTCTGTTACCTACAACTGACCTAAACACACGATGTCCAACTGGTCTGGTGAAGCAAATGAGTTCAGTTCGGGGATAAGCAGGAACAAAAACAAACCAGCAGAGCCTGCAGGCCAGCTTTCTGAGGAAGGGAGTGGCTCCCTCTGCTGGCGTGACAGCCCTTGGCACACACCGTCCACCCCCCCCTTTTTTAAGGGCATCACATGCACTCACTCTGCAGGGGGGGCTCTGCTGCTGGATGCCACTGCGGCACTGGAACTGGTGCTGGGCTCCTCCGCGATCCCCCCTCCATCCAGGAACATGGTCACTGCCATCTCTAGGTTATTGTTACAGGCCTCCAGCATGTGCTTCCCAACACTCTCGGTAGCACCTGGGAAAACATGTGCTGCCTGATTAGCGATTTGAACACCACTGCACTGTCCCCTTATTCATTTCCACACAAGACAAGACACACAGGTTTTAGACATTCGACAGAGAGGGGATCGGGCCTTTCCTGGAACTTCGCTGAGCATAATGGTGATCAAAGGCTAATGTCTACCTGAAGCAATAACAGAAAAGGTCTAAAGAAATGAAGCAGTTCAGGTGGGGAGCTGCGTCAGCATGCGTAGGCTGCAAAGGAACAATAGGTTTATTCCATGCTGAAACGAGAAGAAAGAAAACAGCCAAGGAGCCTTCTTCAGGTTCCTCACACCTGTTTTCTTTCTTCTCTTTTCAGCATGGAATAAACCTATTACTTGTTCCTTTAAAAAAACATATACTTCTTTCACAATACCTCTTTTCTTACAATCATTTTACTATCTATAACTGCAGGGCTTCTCAGGATTTAAGCACTATTTACCTTCAGTGTGAGCCACGTAATATCAACCAAGCTACAGCTCAACTTGAGTGATGAATGCAGTGTGGGGGTGGCATGGTGGTGCAGTGGTCAGCATTGCTGCCTCACAGCACTGGGGCCCTGAGCTGGGGTGCTATCTGCGTGGAGTTTGGATGTTCTCTTCGTGTTCGCTCGGCCAATTGCTGGGTGATCCATTTTCCTTCCATGGTCAAAAAACATATTGGTAGTTTAATTGGATTTTGAGCAAACTGGCACTGGTGTGTGCGTGTCTTTGTGTGCCCTCTGATGGACTGGCGTCCTGTCCAGGGTGTATCCTGCCTTGCCCCCCCGTTGCTTGCCAGGACAGGCTCTGGCTCCCCCCCACCCCCCCGCGACCCAGAATTGGAAGAAGTGGTGAGAAACTGGTGGATGGATGGATGGAAGGATGGATAAATGGATACAGGATATGCCTGCTGAACCCTAGTCAGACAGCTATGACCCCAGTGGCTGCACAGAATCGCCTGTGCTGCGCGGTGATGGAGAAGGCTTGAGTAGGTCTCTGTAGGCTGCATGACAGCAGCACAAGAGCCTGACAAAACCCCACTTCAGGAGGACACATGCACAACTGGACAGCACGGTGGTGCAATGGTTAGCATGCTGGGGCCTTGGGCTTGATTCATGGGGTGCTATCTTGCACTATTTACCTGCACTGTAAGCAATGTCATAACAACCAAGCTACAACTCAACTTTAGCGATGAGTGTGGGGGTGGCATGGTGGTGGAGTGGTCAGCATTGTTGCCTCACAGCGCTGGGGCCCTGAGCTGGGGTGCTATCTGCGTGGAGTTTGGATGTGCTTTTCGTGTTCGCTTGGCCTTTTGCTGGGTACTCTGGTTTCCTCCCACAGCTCAAATCATACTGGCAGGTTAATTGGCTTTTGGGAAGACTGCCTCTGGTGAGGGTGTGTGTGCCTATGTGTCCTACACACAAATATGATGGACTGGCATCCTGTCCAGAGTATATCCTGCCTTGTACCCACTGCTTGCAGGGATAGGCCTGGTTTCCCCGCAACCCTGAACTGGATAAAGCAGTTAAAAAATGGATGAACAGACACACACACACACAACCTCTCTCTCTCTCACATGCAAAAAGAGGGCAGTTGTGGCAATCTGGGGAGGTTGGGGGGAAAAAATGAGGAATTCAGAGGATGCCACATATAATATCCAACTTCAGACTTTTCTCAACTGTGCATAAAACCAATTTTTTTAGCAAAAGCGACAGTAATATATGGATGACTTATATAATATATATATATAAGCTAGAAGCCATATCACTCTGCAACTCACAACTGGAAGCCCCACTGAAGCTCAGCAGGTGTGAGCCTGGTCAGTACCTGGATGAGAGACCTCCTGGGAAAAACTAAGGTTGCTGCTGAAAGTGGTGTTAGTGGGGCCAGCAGGGGGCGCTCACCCTGTGGTCCATGTGGGTCCTAATGCCCCAGTATAGTAACGGGGACACTATACTGTAAACAGGCACCGTCCTTCAGATGAGACGTAAAACCGGGGTCCTCACTCTCTGTGGTCATTAAAACTCCCAGGGTGTTTCTCGAAAAGAGTAGGGGTGTAACCCCGGTTTCCTGGACAAATTTCCCATTGGCCCTCACCAATCATGGCCTCCTAATGATCCCCACATATGAATTGACTTCATTACTCTGCTCTCCTCCCCACTGATAGCTGATGTGTGGTGAGCGTTCTGGCGCACTATGGCTGCTGTCGCATCATCCAAGTGGATGCTGCACATTGGTGGTGGAGTCCCCATTACCTGTAAAGCGCTTTGAGTGGAGTGTCCAGAAAAGCGCTATATAAGTGTAAGCAATTATTATTATATATTATTAGAAAATACCGTAATTATTACTATAGATACTAGATATGACTAAATCACCTGCAGTGCTGCTGCTCCAAAAACAACCTCAAGACAGAAAGTCCTTCGACAGGACCTTTTCCGTGTCCAAAGTTAAACAGTTAACCGAATCTCACGCTCCCTTGTGAAGTCTGAAAGGAAATGAGATCAGACCTGAGCCCAGAGTGGGGGTCTGCTGCCTTCACTACTGTAGTTCACTCTGCTTCTTTGTTTTCCACGTGACAGGTTTATGGCACGGCGGCCGAGCACTTTAGAAAACAAGTGCGACTTCTCGGGGGAACATTTGTTGCTTTTCTGTGCGTGCAGTTGTACGAGCTCTAAGGGTGTTGCAGGCGAATCCATTTCACTGTGCTAGTCTAGGCACAGAAACTGGCGCGCAGGACAGTAGCAGAGAGGAGACTCTCCGTCTGAGAAATGAAAGAAGTATTGCTAACGGTCAGCCCACCAGACTTCTTTTTTTTCTGTAGGTTGTTATAACAAAGCATCTTGATCAACAAACTCTAATGCCACCAAACTTTATCACTGTTGCCGATGTTCACTTCACATGCAAAGTCCTGCAGATGTTTAGCTGATCAGCATATCCAAACATTTAAGAGACCAGTTGCAAAAGGACCCAGATCTCTTAAGTTTTAAAACAACACTTAAGGGATCTGACGTGAGCTTGCACGTTGAACCACCATTACAGTTAGGAGGAGCCTCTACATTAAAAATTGTGTTACCGTGCCCACACAGCGAGCATTCTTTAATCACAAAAACGATACAACCGAAATCATGGGCATGCGTGCTGAGACCTGGACTCTCAACTTTGACTCGTTATGTTGCGTGATGAAGTGTTTTAACCTAATCACTATTAATTTCCATTTTTCACCTCTCTCCTCTTTTTAAGATAAGCAGGTCTATTTTCACTGCATGTCAAGGGGGCAGTACTTTCTATTGCCCCTTTACTTTTTTTACATATATACCGTGCTGCACACTCCTGTTGTTTTTTATTGATTCCGTTAATAAAACACAATATAATCCTTTGAAATATATCATATTTACCAGTAATGGCTGTAAATTGTTGTATTAACCCATTCAGCCCCGGAGTTGATGCATCCCCGAGCGCCGCCATCTTACCGCCGCTGATAACAACACCACTGTCACACATGCGCACTAAGGGCTATGAACGCGACCTCTGCCGCCGCTTGTACACGTGACATCTACCAATGCATTCTGGGTAGTAGAGTTCTTTACAAGCAGCAAAGGTGTGGATAATTTTTATACTCGTATATGCCAGTACTAAGCACCCTGGGGAAACAGTACTGCATGAGAAGTTAATCACCATTTGTGTAGGATTTCATACATTAAGTGAACATAATAAAAAGCCTAACAAAATACATCGTAATGAAAAAATCTTGAAACCAGTTCAACATCAAGCTGAACTATGCCATACAGGTGTGGTTTCAGAGCGTTTGGATTTGGTTTGATTCCGGTTTGGCTTGTGTGCACTGTGCGAAAGACTAGCGTCTGGTCCAGGGTATACTGTTCAGTTTATTTGTCTTACGCTCAAGTGTAATGAAATCCTTATTTGCACGTATGCTCCACTGCAAAGGCATTAAGGAAGCACGAAGCAACAGAGTTAAATAAATGGGGTTACTTAACACACCACCAACACCACTGCCACTTCTCTCTGTGCTGAAGACCAGGCTCCACACTGCGGACAAGACCCTTCTCTCTGTGCTGAAGAC